AGCAATGTGAGTACCATAGTTCTTTTCTTGGTTTTGTTGTTTTTTTAAAAAAGGTTTTCACCACATTATTAAAAAGTCTGAAATAAGATCTCTGATTGCCAAACATGCTAAAAAAGAATAATGTTGCTAATATGAAGTATTATGTTAACCTTTGTAGGAAATTAATTAACCTTTGAGGTCATTAATGAAACATATATATTGTTTATGGAAAGTAATTTAAAGACACATGTTAGAGATATATAAGACTCTTGTTTCAAGTTTTTGTGACTTCTTAAGGTATATATTTTATTATTCGTAGTAAATTGATGATTTATTCAATAAAAATGTGTAGACATGAATGAAGACAATGAGGCTCAACCCTAGATAAATGATGATGATTAGTGTGCGTAGGAGTCCTTTTCCCCCCATTTGAGGTGATCCTATAGGGAGAGGCTAGGTATAGAAAGGATCATGCTCTTGGTCTTTGTATACATGAATATTTAAAAATTTCATTAGAAATGGCAACGTAAACAAACAAATATATAGTCAATACATATGAATAGGGCCAAAGCTCTATCCACTGAGCCAAACCGGTTCGGCAACGAGATCTAGAACATAGTCTGTATCTTCTGTTGAAATGGTTTCTATACAGAGATGTCAGGAATATAGAGATCATATTAGTGTATTGATTTCACAGAGTTAGATGTGTATTTATTAATGGAATAGTGATAAAGACTCCTTAAGGTATATATTTTATTATTCGTATTAAATTGATGATTTATTCAATAAAAATGTGTAGACATGAATGAAGACAATGAGGCTCAACCCTAAATAAATGATGATGATTAGTGTGCATAGGAGTCCTTTTCCCCCCATTTGAGGTGATCCTATAGGGAGAGGCTAGGTATAGAAAGGATCATGCTCTTGGTCTTTGTATACATCAATATTTAAAAATTTCATTAGAAATGGCAATGTAAACAAACAAATATATAGTCAGTACATATGAATAGGGTGAAACCCTCATCATTGTTAAAAATATATAG